TCTAATTACTATCAAGAAATATTCCAGTTTATTTATAAATATAATCATGAAGTAATCCGATTATTAATAAATATATTTATATTTTATTCAGAAAATAATCATAATACAATCTAATTACTATTAAGAAATATTTCAGTTTATTTATAAATATAATTATGAAGTAATCCGATTATTAATAAATATATTCATATTTTATTTAGAAAATAATTATGATATAATCCAATTATTATCAGAATATATTTCAGTTTATTTAAAAATATAATCATGAAGTAATCCGATTATTAGTAAGCTATTTTCCTGAACTAATCACAAATAATCAGAATAGTTCTAGAGTATAAAATATATATAACACTCCAGAAAATGCTTATATATTAGAAGTAAAATATAATTATTACCTAATTATTTTTGGAATACTTTCAAAAAACAGAAATATTTCTGGAGTGTAACTTAGTTAATAAACTGAAATATTTTTGGAATATTTCTAACATAATAATTCGAATATTTTTAGAATATAATTATTTTTTTTTTTTATAGGGCAGTGGCTTTTTGCCTATAATAAATTATTTAAAAATAATCTTAAACTTGATATAAATAATTTAAATCTACTACCTGAGGGAGAAATTTCTAAAGCCATAACTTTGACAATCATGCTTGTCAACATTGAATTATAAGAAACAGAACATTATACTAGTTATACTTATAATCTTTTGTTAGATTGGCAAGAATCAAACAGTGAAGATAATAGTAAAAATAAAGAGTCACTTAATATTAACAAACAAAATTCAACAACTTTTATTAGCAATAATTCAATTGATAGTGCAAATAAACTCAAACCTTCTAAGATAATAAATATTGATTAAATACTGATTACTAGAAGAGAGCATACTTTGCTCTCTTTTTAAAAGCTTATTGATAAACCTGTTTACCATGCTCATAAGCAATTATCATTGGCTCAAATTGTATCTAAATCAATAAATGACCAAACACTATTATGTATATTAAGCATACTTTATAGCAATAAACACTTAAATAAATATGAAGATTCAACTTTTTTTTTTGCAGGATTTCTGGTCCTTTTTCTGTATAATGTTGGTGGTCATGGAGGTCAATTATCTTGTATTTCATTAAAAAAATATGCTAAACATCTCTTGCAGTATCATAACCCAAAATTTAGACAACATAAGTTATTTCTGTTTATTATTTTTAACATTTTACAAAGACATAAAGTATTGATTGAATCTTATAATCTGATTAGAAATAATAATTTTAATCAATCATAAATCTAATATCATCTCTAAATCCTAATGATATTGACATTGCTGTTGATCCAATACAAAAAAAATAACTGTTTAGTAATCTTGCTATTATTGAATTGCTAAAAAACATCAATTTTGCAGATTCTAAACTAATAGCTACTTATTAATCATATTCATGTATATGTAATAAGATATATGCTATTATTATGCAAAATAGTATACCTTTATTATTTATAACAATAAATCTAGCTAATCTTCATAGCCCTATTGTTATAATATATGTCAGAAATAAAGTCAATTCTTGACTTGTGCATCTTGACTCTACAGCTGTTGCTAAATATTTTGACATTATAATACAATCAATTATAAATACTTTAATCAGATATAAAAGAAAGAATAGTGGTATATAAAGATTAATAAAAAATTATTACAGAGTTATAGAATATCAAAATTACAGTATACCTTATTGTTACATGCTTATTTGGCTTCATGGAGCTTATAACCTATTATTATTATACAAAAAACTTAAAAATACAATGAATTCAGCCAATGCCTCTTAAGTTATATTAGTGATATTGTTAAAGAAGATATCAGTTATCTTTTAAAAAATGAGCTTATTACTAATAATATGATTAAAGCTAAGTATAGAGAATCTAAAACAATGCTTGAAAAGCAAATGCATTTATCATTTCTACTGATTACAATCCTAGATCATCTAATTTTGAAAAAGAGCACTGTTAGAACTTACTCATGATTTATAAATATATTTTTTTTTATTATTGTACTTGCACTTGCAAGAAATATAACCATGGCTTATGTAAACATTATCAGTTCAACTTTCCAAGAAAACTTGTAAATCCACTTGGCATGATCTTTTCTGATCAAGAAATAATTATGGTTCAATGTACAAGTAATTTTATTAACAACTATAATCTTTATATAATGGCTGTATGCAAAAAAAATAATGATATTTAATTCATATCTATATGAAAACTTGTTCTGTCTTATATTCATTATATTACTAATTATGTTACTAAATCAGATATTAGTATACATAGTTTTTTTTTTATTTGTATATCTACTCTAGAAACCTTTTTAACTTGTCTGCCTGATGAAATTTTATATAATTTGTGAACAAGTTATGTAAGCTTGTAATAAAATATCTTAACAAAATAGTTAGACAAATGAAGCTTACAAGTCTACAAGTTTCACTTATTTGTTGGGTATCAATGATCATTATATTCTAAACAAATTTATATTGATTTATTTTCAAACTTTTGAGTTTAATCTAATGAAAAAATAGGTAAATGTTTGTCAATTTACAAATAATATTGTTGAAATCAATCTTAAATCAAATAATCAATTTAACATCAAGGAATCAAACAACATTATCACTAAACCATCACTCATCAAACAACATATCCAACAACACTTCGATGATTGGACAGCCCCCAGAAACATCCAACTACAATTA